CTCTCTCTCTCTCTCTCTCTCTCTCTCTCTCTCTATATATATATATATATATATATATATATATATATATATATATATATATATATATATATATATATATATATATATATACAGCATACACACACTGAAAGTCCCTTCACACACACACACACATTTATATATATATATATATATATATATATATATATATATATATATATATATATATATATATATATATATACACAGCATACACACACTGAAAGTCCCTTCACACACACACACACACACACACACATATATATATATATATATATATATATATATATATATATATATATATATATGAGAGACGTTCAGTCTGTGTATGCGTGTTCATTTCTTTTTATCGTTTTCAATTTGTTTTGTCATCTATATATTCTGTACCTCATTTCCCGTATCATTTGCTTTCCTTTATTTCAATGTTAAAAAGTAAATATCCTTCTTTTTCTCACTCTTTCTATTTCCATTTCTCTCTCTGATTAACCTCTTCTTATACCTTCGTTCCATTTCCCTCTCATCTTTCTATTTTTATTTTATTTTAAACACCTTCCATCGCTTCATCCCCTTTTGATTAACATCCAATAAAATTTCCACGTACTTTCTCTCCAGTAAGTTCTTTTTTTTTTAAATAGTTTTTGCATTACTTTTTCCTTCTATCTTTTCCCTTCCCATTTTTTTAACTCTAAGAATTTTTGGCTTCCATTAATATTATACTCTTTTTTATTATTTTTTCTTTATTCCGACGGGTCATATGCTATTAAACTTAAGTGTTTTCTGATCTCATATCTCAAATATTACACAAAATGCTTAGCGATACTGACAGATAAAAAATTCAGGCTAAGTTTGTTTACGAGCGTCATCATTTCTATATATTTCTGCTACTTTTTACTTTTCCCTCCTTGCTTTTCTCAATAGGTTTTCTTCTTATATATATTGAGAATATTGTTTATTTCGTCATTTAGAGAAATACGGATAATCCCCCCCTACCAAAATGACGTAGCCACAACGGTTCTGTAACCTTTCTGTCATTCACCATATTCTCGCCATAGTGGAAAAGTTTAACTAAGAGTATATACCATTTTAATAACGTTATATACCGTACCTATGAACACTAATGCGTATGTTCCAATCCTGATAAATACGTTGGACACTATTGTAAGGACAGCGAATATTTAAAAATTGGAAACATATTTATTAATCAATAAACTTGAGATTAATAAATCTAATTTTTGGTTATTTCTGGAGCCGATGTTTCGTTATATAAGTGATCAATTTTTAATTCGCTACTTAGTATTTTTCCAGCTAACCTTTGACTAGGGTGTTCGTTACATAAACAAAAATATAAATCTCACACTTAATTATTTACTCAGATTTTCGCATATTTATTCAAGTATATTATATTACATAAAAGGCTTAGCGATACTGACAGATAAAAATGCAGGCTAAGTTTGTTTATGAGCGTCATCAATTTTATATATTCCTGCTACTTTTTACTTCTCCCTTCTTGCTTTTCTTAACAGGTTTTCTCATATATATTGAGAATATTATTTATTGCGTCATTTAGAGAAATGCGGATAATCCCCCCCTACCAGAATGAAGTAACTACAACGGTTCTGTAACCTTTCCGTCATTCATCATATTCTCTCTTTTTGAATACAACTCTTTTGTTGTTTTCTAGCCTCAGCAATGTTTTTATTTTTTAGATTCTTTCACATTCAGTAATTATTAACTTTTAGTGGCGTTATAAAATTACTTGAGTTGAAATAATTAAAACAATAGTCACACAAATATTTTTTGTCAATTCCCCACAACATTTCGTAAACGTTCGAAATATCGCCAGGAACTGAAAAGTAGCGGCCCCTCGTGAGAATTTAAATGGAGTGACCAATCTAGAGGTCTCTTTAAGAGCATTGTTTAACAGGCATGTAAAGAATTCTCTGATTGGTCAAGAGACGAGCACGTAACGAGTCTTCTGAGTGGTAAAGAGACGACCCAATGAGAGCGCTGCCTCTTTTCCACATTGATGTGTTAAAATGTGCCGAGCTGGCCTTTGACAAACAAACAAGTGGAAAAGTTTAACGAAGAGTATATATCACTTTAATAATGTTATATACCGTACATATGAACACCAATGTGTATGTTCCAATCCTCAAAAATACGTTAGACACTATTGTAAGGATAGCGAATATTTAAAAATTGGAAACATATTTATTAATCAATAAACTTGACATTAATAAATCTAATTTTTTCGTTATTTCGTTATATAAGTGTTATGGTCCAGATCCTTGTACCACGGTGATGGTCCAAGGTAGATCCAATAAAGAAGAACTCGAACACAGATATGGAATAACACAGATATATTACAAACAGGAATATATACAGAGAAGTAGAAAGTGTTAGTACGAAAAATCAGGTTTAGTAGGGAGAACAATGTAGTCTCGACCAGTATCACTATTCCAATGTCTTGTAGTAATTGTCTGAACGCGACTCTGTTTCGGATTGCCTCTGACTCGACTCTTTCCTCGACTGACTGACTGACACCGGACGGACTTTTGACGGACCTCACTCCAGACTTCAGAATTCAGACTGTACGGTATTTAGACACCCCCCTCCCACGATGGCATCATGTGGCACAAGGACAGTTTAACGTGGGATCTCCGAGCCCGTGGGTTCGGCCAAAAATATGCCCTTTGAACCCGTATAAACGGGTTCAGGGTCGGTTTACCTGCCCGAAAGAGACTCCGCCCTTCGGCGTAGCCTCGTTCGGGATCACCCCCGTCCGCCCGAAGGCAGAGAATTCAACCAATCAGCCGATCACCCGGTCGCCCGACTTCGGACTGAACGATATTCAGTCACCCTCCCACGAGGGTGTCATGTAACACAAGGCCTTTTTAACGTGGGATCTCTGAGCCCGTGGGATCTCCGAGCCCGTGGGATCTCCGAACCCGTGGGCTCGGCCAAAAATATGCCCAATTGAACCCGTATAAACGGGTTCAGGGTCGGTTTACCTCCCCGAAAGAGACTACGTCCTTCGGCGTAGCCTCGTTCGGGTTCCTCCCCGCCCGAAGGCAGAGAGTTCAACCGATCAGCCGGTCAGCCGGTCGCCCGACTTCGGACTGAACTCCCTGCTTCCTCTTGAGGCGCAGTATTTATTACGTATGGAATAGTCCATTATGTTATTATGAGTAAGGTCCCATAACAATAAGTGATCAATTTTTAGTTCGCTAGTTAGTTGGTTTTTTTTACAGCTAACCTTTGACTAGGATGTTCCTTCGTTTGTTACACAAACAAAACTGTAAATCTCACACTTAATTAATTACTCAGATTTTCGCATATTTATTCAAGTATTTAATATTACACAAAATGCTTAGCGACACTGACAGATAAAAAATGCAGGTTAAGTTTGTTTACGAGCGTCATCATTTTTAGTTCATGTTATATTCCGCATCTATCAACCCTAATGGGTATGTCACAATCCACATAAATACGTTGGACACTACTCTAAGTGGAGGTAATATGCTGTCTAAGTAGTTCACCACTTACCTACTTCCGCCGCTGGGGAGTATTGTATTTTGTCAATGTTATAAAAATTAACATGTCATTTGTAACCTCCGTTTTGGCTATTCCTCATTTAGTAAACATTTCTGGGTTACAACAAATAAATATCTGTAGTTTGTGGGGGTCACTCATATGATAAAAGCAGACATAGCCTCATATTCACAGGAATAAAAAAAAAACATACACAGAAATAAGACATAAAGCATGTTAAATTAAAAATTAAAATCATACAATTTTATTTATTTTTGTATACTGGTGTGTGTGTGTGTATTTTAGTTACAAATGTTTTTGTTGTGGTACGATCCACCTAATTTACATAATGGAGTACCAGCCATATAAATATGGTTGGTACCGGGAAGACGGGGGAGGAAGAAGAGATCCAATCCAGAGACTCTGTCCGACTGCGACTAAGTTAACCCATTCTACAGGAACGGTCTTCCCAAGAATATACCAAACTATCTGTAAATATTGTGTACACGTTCTTGTGTCAATACATTTTGTTTAAGTACATTTTGTGTTGCATTATTATTATTCCATGCTTTATTCAAGTTTCAACAGTTTTAATGTTCGTATTATAACAAACAATGTCACAAAGAGAGGAGATGGGCGTCTTGACTTTCTAACTGTCGGTAATGAAAGAGAGTGAATTTAGAACTTGGGACACTGAGTCTGTTCTCAGGCAAAAGTTACTGTTGCATTCTGGGAGAATTAGTTAATTTCAACAAAGTGTTAATAATATCTATCTTATCTTGTCTATGATATTCACTAGTATTATTTTATATTTTAATTTTATTTGCCGAATTACCCGAACCTTGATGCGTGTTACAATTTCTTTCTAAGAAAATGATTATTAATTTTGAGCCATTGCTATAAATTTTCGAGAAAAAAGACGAATTTCAATATTAGTCAATGACCTTGCCGATGTGTCCACCATCTTCTGGGTTTCGCCTTCTTTATGTTGTACAGGAGTTCAAATTTAATTTAAATAAAAGAAAAAAAATGATGTGCAGATTTCAAAATTAATATGATAGATGAATTGTCGCAACAAATATGTATTGTAAGGCACTACGCAATGATATGTGATTTGTTCAACTTGACGTTCATATTGTCTCATTTCCAACCTCTGTTTTAGTTATTCCACATCTTGCTGATGTGATCTCCATCTTCTGGATTTCTCCTTCTATATTTTGGATAAGAGTCATTACATTGTTCAAATTTAAATTTAAATCAAAGGGGAAAATATTCATTGTGGGGCTTGTACCCCCACGGGTACCCCCTTTGATCTAAATAAAATATATTCTTCTATATTTTAAATAGGAAGAAATGACCCCAGTCCAAAATATAGGAGAAAGCCAGATGTTCAAATTCAAATTTAATTTAAATTAAATGGAAAACATTTTCAGTGGGGAGCGGTATGCAAA